GGGAGGGGCTGAGGATCGTGTTCCCGCCGGGGAGATACACGGATGCGGTTTGGGGCGTTTGGAGAGGCAGGAGCGGGATCCTCCCGTCCTCGGCTGGAGGAGGTGATTGACTTACGTGTGTCTGGCTTTTAACTTCATTTAAAGGAGGTGAAGGGAGAAGAACAGAACAGTATTTGCTGCTATGTGATTAGCACATCAGTTTTATTGGGTGACGGAGAGTTAAAAAAAGAGCTGTCCACTGAAGCACTTAAGCAACCTTAATTACCTAGAACACTTTGCATTGCTGCCATCATCTATTTTGTGTATCCCAAACTTATTAAATTCTATTCCCTTAGTTGCACATAATAGGTTGCTTACATTCTTTTCTGTTGTTAGTAAAACAGGTTTTCCCCTCTAGACATGCTGTTTCCTTGACATCTCAGCATCTTTGTGGATAGCTCGGGTAGCTTGTGGGCTGAGCTTGTCGGCCCCCACGCTGTGGGGGGTGTGGGGTTCTGTGCCCAAAGCCTGCCCTGCAGGCGCACCTCAGTGGAGACGTCGGTTAGCAAGTGTGTTAGGGCTCTGAACTGCCCTGTGTTCCAGTAAGTGCAGTGTCCTGGTGGGCAGCGAGTGCCCCGAGGCTGCTGGTGTGGTGGGCAGCTCCTCCTCCTCTCCAGCTCCTCGAGGTTGGTGCCCGGTGGGTGCTTGCCCAGAAAACACCCCTTCCAGCCCCCGAGCTGCTCCGTGCAGCCGGCCTTGCCGCCCGGTTCCCCTGCTCGCTGGAGAGTCTGGTGCGACATAGCAGGTGCTTCTGCCCCGCACAGAAAATAGTTAGAAACAGGATTTAAAAGAATATCGGTTCAGCTGTGGTGATTGAGTGCAGGGCTCCCCCAGACCAGCCTGCTGTCACCAACCAGCAGTCACCCAGGACTGGCCCTTTTATCCCCTTTTCCCTTTATTTTCTTACACTTGCTTCTTCCTCATCTGCCTTGGTCCCTCCCTTTGCTCCTTGCGCCCTGCACCCCACGGTCAGCCCTGCGTGTTCTCACAGTCCTTTAGAGCATCAACCAGCCCTGTGCAGCTCACGTGGGCTCTTCTGGTAGGTTGTCCCCATGTTGCTACTGCTGATGCTGGGGGCTCCGCCTTGGCCCACGCCGATGGCGTTAGCGGGCTCCTCCGCCTGCCTTCGCCCTCCTCATCCTCACAGGGTGCCTGTGTCTGCAGCGATTACTGCTCCAGGCATAGCTGCTGCTGAGGACGTGCGTGAGTGTCTTGGGGGACCCGGGCTTCTGCAGGGAACAGAAGTTGTGCTTAGCACGTGCGAATTGGAAACTTGGCACTTGTTGCAGCCACACAGAGATATGAATTTATCGGCTAGTACTTTGAAGTAAATATTTTACTATAGTCTCTGTTGGGACTGTTTTGGAGAAGGCCGTAGAGGTTCTGATTTTTAGATACTGTTTATAAAATACTTAGCATGAAATTTAATAGGTTATGTCTGGGGCTTGCAGTGTGCAGCACAGTAGACATATGTAGCAGAGAGTCTTTCTAAACTGTGTTTTTTTTCCCCCTTCTTCCCCCTCTGCTTCTGAAACAAAGACATCTGTGAAGGGCCCTTGAGGCTGGGCCTCGAGCACTTGCCCTGTGGGGGGCGGCTGGGGGAGCAGAGGTGGCTTTGGGGACACCTGGCAGCAGCACCTGTGGCCGGGCTCCTCGCAGCGCTGCGTGGCAGGAGGACCAGGGGCAACGGGCACGAGTTGAACCAGGGCAGGTTCAGGGCGGCTGCCAGGAGCAGCTTTGCCCCGTGGGGACAGTGGGCCCTGGTGGCCCTGGGCACTCTCTGACCTCAGAGGGTTTCGGGACCCGACTGGATGAAGCCCTGAGCATCTGGGTCACACTCAGAGCAGGAGGATGGGCTGGACTCCCGAGCTCCCTCCCAGCCCCACTTCTCCCGGGATCCCAACATGATTTAGACTTCAGTTCGCGCTCCTGGCCAGCCTAACTGCATCTTATGACTTTCCAAACAGAGAGCCAGAAGAGCCCTTTGGCTTAGGTCAAACTAGTACTAGTTGTGTGACCTGCTGACATGGGCAGGTCTTGCTGAACTACCAAACCCTTATGTTAAACAGCAACTTAAAAATGGTATTTAATTTCCCTATGCTTAGAGTTTAGCACTCTTATTTAAATTAAAAAAAGATTAAAAATAATAAGATTAAACTTATTTTGTTTCAGATAAATGTGAATGAAATTCAAAGATTTTCAGATTTTCCACTGTCAAAGAAAACCCTAAAAGGTGAGTGTGAAAATTTTGTTTGAGAATTTAAGTAGAAATGAATATATAGTTCATTTGCAAATAAAGAAAATTTTGCTTAAAACTCTTTTTAAAAAGAATTTTACCATGTAGAAAAATGGAAAATGGAAAAAAAAGGGGAAAAAATAGCACTTGGCAAGATAAAATAAAGTTTTTCCACTCTCCCCGCTTCTCTCTCCGCATCCATGACACTAGGATTGCAGGCAGCTCAGTATCGCGTGGTGACTGAGATCCAGAGGCAGACCATAGGTCTGGCTTTACAAGGCAGAGATGTGCTCGGAGCTGCCAAGACCGGATCAGGCAAAACCTTGGCTTTTATCGTCCCGGTGAGTATCTTACAAACCCCATCCTCACTAAGGCCGAGTTACTGCAGAAGTCGGGGGTGTTAAAGGTTACTGGATTCTGGGAGAAAAGCTGTAATTTAACTGATGTTTGTGTTCCAAGGAAGCATCATTTAAGAAAGCTGCCTGAGGCTTTGGATGAAGTAAACTTCCATCGCAAGAAATGTTCAGGGATTTTGAAATTTCATTTTGATCCCCGCATTAATAGATTCTGTGCAATTCACAAAATGCTTTGTTTTTCTCTCAGGAATCTGTCTTCTTTGTGCAGCTCTGCTAACGTGGTCTGATTCTGTTAAAATATGAAAACTGAGTGTATGAAATGGGTGAAATAGCTATAGTTCCACAGGTTTTTTTAGATCAGTGACTGTAGAATTTCTCTTCTTGTTTGTGGTCAGGGCAAGATGAGGGGTGTGTTTTTATTTATTTATTTTTTAAATAGTCTCCCTAGAAATCATTTCTAGATCCAGAAAAACAGGATGAAAATTCCTGCCATGGGTAACGTATTTGAAAGCTTCACTCAAAACATCATACTCTGAATGTAATTTATTCAAGAATAAAGTATAATTGAAAAGTGAAAAAGTGAAAGTGAAAAGTGTCCTCTTTTTTAAAGAGGACGTACCAATTATCGAGAAACCTATTGATGACTTCTAGATCCAGAAAAACAGGATGAAAACTCCTGCCATGGATAATGTATTTGAAAGTTTCACTCAAAACATCATACTCTTATTCTTGAATAAATTGCATTCAGAGTATGATTGAAAAGGTTTTTTAAAGAGGGCATACCAATTATTGAGAAACCTATTGATGAGTGGATAAAGGGAAAAGAGATGTAGTTTGGATTATGGAAGTTTTTTGTGTAAACATTATTTGTGTTTTACTGGCATAGATTAAGAGTCTCTTCTGTCAATGGCTCTGAGAACAGTAGTAGGTGTTTTGAATATGCTCTGCAACTGAGAAGATTCGTGCTGTATGTTCACTTTCTTTATTAGTGAAGAATAGGAAAAAGTGTAGGTGGCTTCAAAAATAATTGTGTGAACTTGAGAAGCAGAGTTCACAAGTGAGACTGCTGAATTAGTTTAGGAGTAGATATTTTTGTCCTAAAAAAGTAGTTTTAAAACAGTGTTTGGGGAAGGAGGATAATGGGAAGGAGTTGGACTGGTGAAGAGTGAAGAAAAATTTTATATGACGGCTCTGGTATTTCAAAATATTATAATCAGGGTTATATATATATATAACCAAATCAATGAAGTCCTTATGTTAAGATTAGCTAACTTAGCCTGTATTTCAGGGTGAAACTGTACAATACCTTTAGGTGGAATGAACTGTATATAACACAAGTGTGTATATATATATATATATATGGAACTGCTCTATATCTGAACCAGAATTATTAAGACTGAATTGTTTGGCTTTTTTTCTAGTTCTTTCTCTTTGATTCCCTCAAAACCTTATAAACAGGGAAACTTCTCCTGCGTTTCTGCATCTGATTTTTATTCTCATGCAAGTGATTCAGAATAGATTTCCAGAATTTGCCAGGGTAGGTTTAACTGTGTAGTGAGATTTCTGCAATTCCCAACCCATTGCTCTCTGGCATTAGATTCGTGCTGGGGCACGTTGCCTCAGCAAGCATTATCACCACCAGCTAGAACTGATATGTGATCAAACTGTATGAAATGCCTACTTAAATCATTATTTGCACTAACTTCCCTTTATCTTTGTATGACTTCTTTTTTGTTTCATGTTTTCCTTCTGGGGTTTTACGATGACAATATGGTAATTTTTTTCAGGCCTTGGAACTGTTGTATCGCAATCAGTGGACTTCAGCAGATGGACTGGGAGTTTTGATCATATCGCCTACCCGGGAACTGGCCTATCAGACCTTTAAGGTTCTGCGGAAAGTGGGAAAAAATCATGACTTCTCAGCTGGCCTTATAATTGGAGGGAAGGTTTGTCCTCTTTCAGTTTGTCTAAATGAAAAAATAAATCCTAGTCTTGGAGGAAGCCCTTAGATGGAAAAGTGGGGGAAAGGAATAGTTAATGGGAATCTCTTCCTGACTTACTCATTTTCTGATAATTAGAACTAAACTGTTTTAATTCATTTTCAGGATCTGAAAGAAGAGTCTGAGAGAATCCACAACATCAATATGCTCATTTGCACTCCAGGACGGCTTCTGCAGCACATGGATGAGACTTCGTATTTTTATGCATCAGATCTGCAAATGTTGAGTGAGTTTTAAAGTACTCAAAAATATTTTGTAATAGTTTTAAACTATTCCTGTGTGGAGCATTTCCTTGGCTACAAAGTCATGGCATGTAGCTAAAATAGCATTTAAGTTTAGGCATGGAGAAATTAAAATAGAAAATGACACAACTCCTTTTCTGGGTGCCTTTCTCTCTAAGGAACTTCTGAGCAGGTTTTTCCTAGGATGATAAGAACAAGTAGGTGAGTTACTAAGGGACCCAAAACCAAATGCAACATCCCATTATAATCCTTTAGATATGTGCTGGCTAATGCTGACCTTTCCTTTCTGTCTGTAGCTCTCTTGTTTTACTAGATATGATGATTAATGATAGGGAGCATTCACTACAGTGTGTGCATTTGGAGTGTTATTCTAGAAAAGATTTCTTTGCATTTTGACCAAGGTAGCTGTTTCTGTCTTTTTCTTGGCGTCTTTCTTTCATCCTACCAACCTGAATACAAATATCAGCTTAATGAAAAGGTTTGTTTGCCTTTAAGAACTGTGCATAATCTTTAGTATAGCTTGAGGAACTTAAAAGCAATTAAGAAGCTAATGAAGCTGATAAAATGTGAAATTAGAATTGTTACACTCAGTACAGTTCATTGCAGTTAGACAAGACTTGCATTAAATACAGACCCTTTCCTTAAAGTTTTGTCTCTCTGCTGATCTGTGTATTCCTTCCATGTAAATGATAAATTTAGCTTGGTTACAGGTGAGTCAGTTTTGCTTGGTCATGAACATTACTGCACTGTGTTACGTTCCATGGTTTTGTTCCCGTAACTGGACAGGGAGTTTATAATTTGCAGTTTGTCTGTGAATTGGTGAATGGGTTGCTTGAAATGTGGACATTCCTATGCCTCAGCACGAGGAGCTGAGGGTGCGTAATGTTATGGGAATTGCTCTGACTTCTCTCTTGCATTTTATAATCATATTTTATGGAGTACATGAGCAGCTAAAGAAAATTCTACAATATACAGCAATTAAGTCTACCAGTTTAAGTAGGCTATACAGATCTAAAGTTTGAATTTTATAAACTAAAGCAAGATCATTTTCTCTCAAATCTGTTTTCCCAATGCAGTTCTTGATGAAGCTGACAGAATTCTGGACATGGGGTTTGCGGATACCATGAACGCGATCATAGAGAATCTCCCCAAGAAGCGCCAGACGTTGCTTTTTTCAGCAACGCAAACAAAATCGGTGAAGGATCTTGCACGGCTGAGTTTGAAGGATCCAGAGTATGTTTGGGTTCATGAGAAAGCCAAATTCAGGTATGTCAGGGTAATTTTTCTAGTTGTGGGGTTTAAACAGATGATGATCCTGCTTAACTGCTTCGGGACTCGTGCATCTTTCTCCCTCCTTCAATCCCTGGTCCTGTCGCGTGCCTCTCTGGAAGTAGGGAGTTTTCAGAGAAGAGGTTACTAGTTGTGACTGATTTCATTGCGGGGAAGCTGAGCCTGCACCTTCCTTGTGGCTTCCCAGGAACTACTCTGACTGCCATTTTTTTTTTCTCAGGGTAGTTCCAAAGGTGGGTTAAATTCTGGACAGACCAGTCTTCTGACTGTAGTAGCAACCATTTCTTGGTTGTTAGGTTTTTGTTCTTTGGCTTTCTTTCCTTTCCTGTCTTTGTATTCACTGTGCAGGTGATACCACCATTCTGTCTTTGTTGCACAAATACAGTTCTTGTGTGTCTCTGAATCTGGTTTTCCAAGGAAATGTTACCCTGTTGGGAATGTGCAGAAAGACCCTCCTGTTTGTGTGGTCAGTGTTGGGTGTCCCTAGGAAACTAAATGATACATGTCCATGTGCAGTTAGTCTGAGGATTCACTGTGCATGTTCAGGACTCCAGCCCTGTGCATGTGAAGTAGTTTGGTTGTGTTCCTGCCTGGCAGTATGTGCTCTACCCAGCTTAAAAAAATTAACAAATGCAAAAAGGTGCACAGTGTTACCGCGTTTATTTTTTCTCTCAAAATTACATTTTTAAAATGTTAAAATGTTGCTGTTTGTGGGCTCTAGTCTCAGAGTAACATATAGCTCATGGACATGTATGGTTCAGTTTTTCTCTCTATGACATACACATGTGTTTCCATACTTAAGATGCAGGTGGAGGAAGGTGAAGAGCAGTAGTAGAATAGCCCAACCAAGAGCCAACAGGAAATAATCAGCAAAATGAACTGTAGAGCTTAAGTCTTTACACAGACTTTAACTGTTTGACTCCATAATGTCTTTTCATTATCCTGAAAACAGCATTAATAGTACTAATAGTGCTAATAATAAATAAGAGATCTCAAATACAATTGCTGGAAATGATTGTGTGAATAATATTTTTTTTGTCTAAGCTGAAGATGATATAGAAGCCTGATTTAGTCTTCTGTTTGAGGACTAACTATACAAAAATGCAAGTTTTCTGAAACAGGTGCAAAGTGTGTTTTAAAGCACATTGCACCTCCCCAGGTATTTCAAAAGTACTAATTAATAAACCAAATCAGAAAAGTAAAATACCAATTTGTTCTAGAATTACTGCCTTTGTACATAGTATGGTGTTAGCTTAAGGAAATAGTTGCCCGTGAAAGATTCAGAGGGTGAAAGGTACTGTGGCATAATTTAAAGTGACTAGTGGAATAAAACTTAGAGCAGTGTCGTGAATTTCTTTCTCTCATGTGACATCTTCAATAAAATAATTAAAATGCTCTTGCTCACTCTGAGGTGGAGTAGAGGGACTGTGAGAGAAGAGCATTTAAATATTTCAAGGGCAAATATGTCAGAGAATATTCTTTTCTTACTTAGTAGAGAACTGAAAGGTGAGTTAAAATGACAATTTGGAGCTTCACAAAGTCACTTTTCATGTCAGTGTGTGATCAGTAAAAATACCTCAATGCCTTTTTTGTGCATGATTAGTCTGTGCTTTGACATTGCCTTGAGCACCGATGATGCTTTAATAGGACTAATAGACGAGATTGCATTTAAGTCAAGGCAATTTGAATGTCACTGCTTAGACATGGAAGGCGTTTGCCTGGGTGTTGAGGAGTAAAGCCAAAAATTATTTTTTTTTGTCTTCCTCTTCTGCTCACCACAGGATTTTAGTAAGCAAACTGGTAGGTCTTTCAAGAGTAGCTCTCCAGTGGAGCTGCTGAGACTTGTTGTCAGATCTTCCCAACCTCTTTTATTTTTTATTTATTTTTTTCTGGGTATTTAACACTCTTGACTTGAGAGAAATGTCAGTAGTTTTTCAGATATTCTATGCCTGTATAATCTCTTTTCTTTATTCTCTTCTTAATGTTATGAAAACCATGAAATATAAATGGGCTTTTGGGTTTCTCTTCTAGTACCCCAGCAACTTTGGACCAGAACTACATCGTTTGTGAGCTTCAGCAAAAAATAAACATGTTATACTCTTTCCTGAGAAGTCACCTGAAAAAGAAGAGTATTGTGTTTTTTGCGAGCTGTAAAGAGGTATGAGAGCAAGGAGGAGCCAGGCCCGGACCTTGCCCAGCCCTGTGCCGTGTCACGCAGGGCGGCTGGGCCAGCCTGGCGGGCAGGGACGCGGGGACCCCGGCCCGGCACAGCGAGGTTCCTACGGGGATCTGCCTGCTGGTCTGGGTGCTCTGGTGCTGGGCGGGAAAGCGAAGGTCGGGCAGCTCGGAGCCAGCCAGTTTGGTCCGGTGGAGCATTTCATAGTGGAGTTACGGAGTATTTAAGAGATACCTGCCCTTTTTAAGAGCTTTGAAAGCTTGCTATAAATAAATGAGATGTAATCCTTCAAGTGGCTGCTTGTATAACTATCCTGGGAGTATTTCTTCGAATTTTTTGTAAACGTTGTTTGATATTTCTTTCTCAGACTACCGCATGCATTGGGTATTTTTACTATACACATTCAACAGATAATTGTATGCTAAATATTCATTTTGGTTCTTGTCCTTATGCAAGGGATTACAGTATATCTATTGTTTTGCTGTTGGCTACTGAGTACTGTGTGGCTGTAGACTTATTTCTACAGAAGTTTCCTCTGAGCTATAGCTGTGCATGCAACACACACCATCTCTGTAACTATTTTCTTAATTGTTAGCCTGCCCCTGCTATGAAATAATGTCGCACCTTGGTACTGCACCACAGTGTGATGGGTGATACTAAGCAGATCATCTTTCTAAGACAAAGTCTTGCTGCTTGAAGCAGTGAGTCAGGATGATGCAGACTGCCTGGAGAGCAAGCGAAGGAATTGCAGCCTGCCAGGGTTGTCTAAAAGCAGCACTTCTGAGGGACTGTTCATGTTTGGGCTCTTGTGCACAGCTGGGCTAGTTGTGCCCCAAACCTCTCCCTTTTTGGAGTGAGAAAGGTATCCTGGCCTTGGCCATGTCCTCCTCCTGTTGGAGGAGCTGCCTGTGTGATGGTGAGTTGGGTGTCTCTGATGTGGAGAACAGTGTATTTTGCTTTATTTGCCGAGGCTGTAGTTGTTTGCTGAATGTGATCGCTACTGTGTCGTGTTACATTTGTTTTCTTGTGGTTTGCTGTGTAACAGGTGCAGTATCTGTTCCGAGCGTTCTGCAAGCTCCAGCCTGGCGTGCCTGTTCTGGCGCTCCATGGCAAGCAGCACCAGATGAAGAGGATGGAAGTCTACAACTGTTTCCTTCGGAAAAAGGCAGCGGTTCTTTTTGCTACAGATATCGCAGCTCGCGGCCTCGGTAGGTGCCCGTTAAAGCAACAGAATATTCACCAGGCGAGGAGGCAAGCCTGTGGAGACTTCATCAGTACCAGAATGTTCTTAAGGCCAGGCTCATTCTTACAAATCAAATTGCAGTTTGCTACAGCTCTGTTTAAAAGCTTGTTTTGGTATCTCAAAAAGGAGCAGTGTGCTTCCCACACACTCCTGGCATGGCTTTACTGAAGAGAGGTACAGCTTCCCTTTCTGTCCCTGAATGACCTAAATTGTCACTACACTTGTAATGCCATTTTACTAAAGCAGACAGTGAAAACTGTCCTTTTTTTAAAAGTCTCTAAATAATCTAAGAGAAACTTCTGTCTCTGTCGAATGCATGTGGGATTATGGAACATTAAGGGGCAAAAGCAATAATATTCCATAGGAGCTGTGTTGGCCCAAGTTTCTCTTCTCTTTCCAGTGCTTGTAAATGGCTGCACTATAATTTCCTCTTAGTTATAACTTTTGCAAATATTTGTTCCTTACGATGCTTATTCAGGAGTTGTGTTTCTTTGGAGTAGCAACTTTCACTGCCCAAAAGGGAAGGCTTTGTTAGGACGTTACAGGAGGTGGAAATTGCTCCAAAATGGAAGTGAGCAGACATGGAAGATGTTTATTGTGTCTTCTTCATGGCTCAAGTGCTGCTGTGGAGGGAGGAATTCACGTGGGCTTGGGCTGACAGAGTGGGTGTAATTGCGGAGCGCCGCGTTACTGCGGCCGTGCTCAGGAAGTCACCCTGGCTCAGTGCAAGCTGGATGAAATGCAGGAGTTGGAAACTGCCCGTTAAAGCTGTAGTTCACTTGGAATATGGAGTTGTTGGTCCAGCCTACTGACTTCCTCTCCCTCTTGTTGTGAGGGACTGTGATGTTTCTTTGCATAGCTAGCTATAGCACTGGTGTCTGACCACAGCTCACTTCATTACCAATAATGTAGGATAATGAAAGTCTAGGGAAAAGTAGGTCAAACTCTGTTATTTAATTATTAAATGTTGTGGGATTTTTTTGATATTATTATTGTATGTATAACACAAAGCACCTGTCTTTTCTTGTCAAGTGTGAAATTATGTTCCACTCATTGCACTGTCATAACTTAGGAAATGAAGACACCATAATTTTAACTTCCTTTAATGAAGAGGTTGGTTGTTTATAATGTGCTAATACTTGCAATTAATTTTATTTTTAATTCAGAGTCTGCATGCAGGCAGTCTATAAATTGGTATCTACATGATAGGTCTTACAGCAAGCAATGCTCAAAGTAGTTATTAACTTGAGTAGGAGGATTTCAGTCCAGAGAGCTTAAAATTGAACACTTTTTTTCCTATCTCCTCTTTGCACAGATTTTCCAGCAGTGAACTGGGTCATTCAGTTTGATTGTCCGGAAGATGCAAACACCTACATCCACAGAGTGGGAAGAACAGCCAGGTTCACATTCACTTCTGGTTTATATTTTGATTTTTTAAGATAGGTAATTGCAAGCACTGCTAACTGGTTACTGCTAACTTGAAAAAACAAACAAACCAAAAAACAAAATGTGAGTTGGAAAGAAAGAAGGCTAATAACACCATAAGAGCATTTGGTTATTTAAAAGAAATGGTTTAAATTAATCATTTCTTTTTGTCAGCGTGAGACTTCATATAGCATAGAGGACCAATAATGTTTAGTTTAATCTGAATAGTCAGAGTCTTTTGTACTTGACAGCGTTACCAGAAAAGCTGCGTGGATCCACATTTGTGTTTGGAAAAGCTTATGTGGACACTGCCATTTATTGGTAAATTAAACCTTTGACATTTCGGATTCAATTTATTTCAGTGTCATTGAGAATTCATCAAAAGAATCGTAATAGTTCTTCTTTCTTTTACTTTAAACAGTAAGAAATCAAACAGGGTTAATGACTGTTTAAATTTTTATTTTTCTTAGTCTTTTGTGGTATTATGTTCTTAGGCAGAGCTTTAGTTAATGTGTCTGTGGCCCAGGCTTTGTAAAAGATGGGAGTTACTTAGACACGCTGTTGAAAACCTGGTCCTTGATCTCTGAAGTTGGTTTTTAAAAGAAGCAGGAGTTATTGAGGTGGATAATTTGGTAGATTAAATGTCAAAGAATGAAATGCAAGACCTAGCATTAACTCTTGTACGTAATTTAGTGTGTTTGCAGTAGGGTTTTCCCATTGGCGTTGCAGTATAATTTGAAGTCAAATACAATGACAGAACAGTCTTTTAGAGCAGTGTGTCAGTAATTCCTACTGTAGGAGTTTGAGATATATTTATTTGGATCAGGCAGCAGTAAGTTTTGGTTGCACAGTAGTAGGAACACGTGTACTTTGAGCCCCTTTTCAGGATGTCAAGTTTTTAGGCATATACTTCTTGTATTCAGTGACACATCTGCTCCATTTTTTCCTGTGTCCAAATTTTTCCTACCTACCGTCTAGCTGTATCCCTAAGGACCTGTCCAGATTTAGCATCCTTAGATCTTTTCTCTACACTTACTAGGTACTGAGAATGATGATTGTAAGCAGCAGCTTTAGAGATGGGAAGGAGCTCAAAAGAGACAAATAACGCCCCGTTTTCAACAGCGATTTTATTAAAATGCCAGTCTGACTAGGATGCCAACCTTGCAAGGATGTGGGTCTGTCTTTGGAGGCCTCTTAAATACAACTGTATTAAATATATTTTGCAAATACAGATGTCTGCCCCTAGCTTCATGTAGATCTCTTGTTTTGTGAGCTTTTCAGTAGCCAGAGCTCATGGAAATTGCCAATTCCTTCTGTAAGCAAAGCTTTGCAGGGGGTTTCTGCCTCCTCACCTGAGAGAGATCAGGGAAGGTTCTGCTCTGCCTGGGCTGTTGTCTGGGAGAGAGGCTCAGAGTTGCTTTGTCCTGAAGTTCACTAAACAAAGCTGTTTCCAGCCCTACAGTTAAGGGTATGAAAGAAACTATTGAAAATAAGGAAAATGCTTAATAGTGTCACATAGTGTAAGTGCTGTGCAGTAAGTAAATAAGCTAATGTTGGGTGGGAAACTTCATTTGTTTTCAGTGGCAGCAGTTAGTATGAGAGCAACTCATGTTTTCCCTATAAACTTAATAAAAATTAACTGCAGTTTAATCGTCGTCATTAATGAGGTTAGGGATAATTATGAAGTTTCATGGGTTGTGAGAGTGTATAATTGCATGGAATGAAAGCTAAATTAAATATCTCGGCTAATTAGGAGACTGTGCTAAACTGTAATTAAAACTGGGTTGCTCAATACTGTTTGCTTTTGAAATCAAATTATTTTGTGGCATAAAAATAAATATGAAAGTCAAAGTATTAGTTTGGGACAGAGGCTGAAGAATGTTTGAAGTGTTCTGTACCACAACTCCACTGCACTTTTGCAGAGCCGTAGCAGAAGTGCAAGATGCTGATTGATTTAAATGGTGAAGACCAGTGTGCTCCCCATGCAGGGTTTCACTTGCACTTCATCCTACTGTGGAACAGAAATTTCAACCTCTGCATTCTTGTCTTGTGGAAAGGTAAAATCAAGAAAATTTGATTAATGATGCTTTTACTTTGTAGTAGAGTTGGCATAACCTGTGTAATTTTATTTTTTTTAATTTGGAAGATATGCTACTCTTACAGGGATTGGAAAAACCGTGAAAACTATTTCTTCCACTGTCATTTTGAAAACTTAATTTAAAGCCCAGCTAGCATAGTAACATAATTTCTAAAATATTAACAATGCTGTAGCCATGTCCTTAAATATTTTGACTATATTCTTATCATACAGTCTCCTAGCAAATATTGTAATTCAAGATATTAGATTACAGAGCTTTTCCTATGAGTTTTAGTTTAAACATTCTAGTAAATAAGAGATACTGCTGGAGATCATCTGCAAAACTTGGTCTGACTTTTAATTCTATTGATGCCTGCTGGTCTCTAGCCCGTGAAGGCTGCAGTTGAAAAGATTTCATCTGCAGTTTGGTGAAACAAGTGGCAGTGCCGCTAGAGGACAGCAGAAGATAATCCTGAAGCAGAGCCACATGCCTCTCCCCTGTATCCCGACTGTTTTTCCAAGCATAACTTGTAAGTTGTGTACCATGAAAAGGAACATAGATAGGGAGGGTTTTCTTGCAGTCATGATTGCAGTGACAAGTAGGATAGATGTTGGGAGGTCTGTCTTTCTGTGCATGCATAAATAGCTTGTGTTTTGGATGTGCCCATATCCTGTTATCCAGACATGTCTCAGTCATTAATTTCCTTCTTTATAAGCATTATTTTCCTCCTTCCTTGCTCTCCTTTTCCTTCAGAGGAGTCTGTTGTTTGTGTTTAGTGATTTTTCTGTGTGCAGAGTCTTTTTTTAAAGACCTTGCCAGTGAAATGTAAAGACAATAAATCCTTTGCTCTGCAGTCTTTATAAAGCTCTGGATCCACAGCAATTATATATAAAGATCCAGATCTTTATATAACCTTCAAGTCTGGCTAAGGCTGAGAGTTCTGATATTAATGCTATTCAATCTGGGCAAGGTTTGGTAGATGCTTAATCTAAATTGGGAAATTATCCTACTTGTTTTCAGAATATAATTAACCTAAAGAATGAAATCCAGTATCCTCCAGGCAGGATGCTACATTGCCTGTTATCTTAGTACTGGCTGCTGTGATGATCACAGTGAAAGAGCATGAATAAAGATTTGGAAGATCTGTAGCCTTTTTGATGTTTTGTGGACACTGAGAAGTGTGCACACGAGTTTCGGAAGGGGAAAGAGGGCATATCATCTAATGGTCTTGCTCCATCATGAAGTAAACTGCTCTGAAATATGCTCATTGGGGCTCCCCTTAATTGCGCACTGTAGGAATGAAAGTGAGACTGATAAACCTGTAGAATAATCTGTCAAAGTGAGACTAAAGCATTTAAAGCAAGGGACCTAATGCCTAATGAAACAATTTTTCAGTGGTGGAACCTGAATTTCACATTGGGAACTGCATAATTGAGATGGCAGCTCTGTGTTTTTTTTTGTATGTTAGACTTGCTGAAGCTCTTCTACTGTTTTTTTTTTTTAATATAATATGTGGTATTTAGACCTTCTCTTATATTGCAGTCAAGTCATTGTCTTAAGTTAAAATAAAAATAGCTGGCAGTGGAGATTACAATAAATTGTTGACAGCACATATTTAACTGGCAATTTATATTATTAAAATCTCTAAAATTGAATACTGTAGCCTAGCTACATTCTTGACAATGTCCTGTGGTGCTGTAGTTGCATTAACTGGAACTATATTAGTCATTGGATTTTTTTTTTATCTAGTAATGAGATACAAATGTTCCCATACACTAAAGCACTAAGTGGCTGTGGTGGCCGTGTGCTGACATGAAGCTGTCCTGGAAGCTATCAAAAAGAATAAGCACATATATTTCAACACAGCGGAGCGGACACAGCTGCTGTGGGAAATGGGTTGCTTACAAACCAGCTGCAAGACTCGCCAGCCTCCCAAGGCCTTTTAAATTCGATTTATTTTGTGACTAGCGTGGCCAGGGGTGTGAGGCAAGACCTGGTTGTGTCTGTTGTTTCTGCTGCCCGAGGCCGCTGAGCAAAGACGACGGTGAGCGAGTCTGAACCAAGGGGATGGTGACTTTGTGGCGTGCATAAGGCTGAGCTCTGTGATTCTCCTGGTTTGCCTGTAGATGTAATCGGGCCCTACTATATTCTATCGTGTGCTGTCCTACATGCTATGGTGGATGTACCGCGCCTGCTGCGTGGCTGAGGCGGCCGCAGCGCCGTCTCTGTGGGCGGCCTCCCGCGCTGGTCGCTCTTGCTGCGCCGCTTCGGAAGCGCCGGCCCCGTTCCCAGGGAGCTCTGTGGATGGCCTGTTAAGGCAGCCACCTTTAAAGGAAAACGGCTGTACCGGAAACCATTGGCTCTCTGGGATAGAAATGCTGATATTCAGGCATGTGTTTGTTTGTCACTTAAATAATGGAATAGCAGATTTCCCCCAATGGGGAAAAACTCCAGCAGTGCAAAAGACATGAGCAAGAAGAGCTTTATCTCCTGTTTATCTTGGCCCTGGAGAAACAATATTTTGTTTTGCAACTTAGATGTCTCCAATTCCTTTAGTGGCAGAAGGCCCGGAAGGCAGTATAATTGGAAACAAAATTTGTTCAAACGGAGAGCAGTGTGAGGAAGCTAAAGCTGTTACTTTCTTTTAAGAAATATGTTTTAAAATTATAGCTTATATAATCAGATTGAATAGTTAAAATTTAAAACAAAGCTATGACTTATTGTATTTCTGTGTATTTTTTGCCTTAGGGGTAAATAGAGATATTATTTTTTTCCTCTGCTGAAAGTGGCCTGTGGGTGAAAAGATTTATTCATATGAGTATGAGATTGAAATAAGTCTTCTCAGAATAAAAGTGCTGATTTTGACTTTTTGGGGGTATATTTTCATAGCTGTTTAA